CGCCCCGACGGCCCCAGAGTCTCTCGCACGATGCCAGGAGCAGCGCGTGGTACCCGGCTATCGCGGCAAAGCCCGTGGGGGGGCCCGCCAGGAGGACCTGGGCCTCCCAGGGCCTGCGGCTCCCAGACGGCGCCAGGCGAATCCAAGAGGCTGTTAGATTCGCCGAACGTAACGCTCGGCGGGTGGAAACAAAAAAAAACAAAAAAAAACTGTTAGATTCGCCGAAGACGCTTCAATGGGTTCGAGGATGGCTTCAAGATGGCCCAAGGTGGCGTCCGTGCGGCCTCAGAGGGCCCCAAGATTGCCTGGGGCGGCCTCCAGACGCTCGAGAGACCTGCGAAGAGGCTCGCAGAGCATTTCAAGAGTACTCCCGGCAGGGCCTCCCGGTGCAGCAATTGACGGGCTCCTGTAGTTAGGAACACATAGCAGTAACAGTAACGAACGCATTTCTGGCATATGCGGGTTTGGGGGCCTTGAAGGCGTCCAGCACGGCCAACCAGCCCCCAAGATCACAACAAGCCGGCCTAAGAGGCTTCAACCGAGGATCCCGAGGCGGCTCGAGAGAGCCCCTGGACGGCCCAAGACGGCCCAAGAGACTTTCACAAAACGGCCCAAGGGGCGCCCAAGACGAGCCAAGATGGCCCAGAGATGGCCCAGCAGAGCCCCAGGTGCACCCCAAGACGGCCCCAAGAGCGCTCCCAGAGAGCCTGGAGAGGCCTCCCAACGGATGCTAAGACGTACCCCCTCTTTTGTAGCATCCGTCGGGTGCTCTCGGAGGGCCCTTTTGGGGCCGTCTTCGAGCCCTCTCGAGCCCCTCTAGGGGCAACGTTCAAGGTCCTCCTGGTGTCCCCAGAGCCTCCTGCAAGGCTACAGGACGGCCCGAGCGAGCCGCAAGGCAGCCCACGGAACGCCCCGGGACGGCCCGAGGTGGCCCAGGGATAGCCCCGCCGCGCCCCCCCTGCAAGTGCACCTGCGCATGTGCTCCACGGGTGCACGGCCATCCCTTCTACAGTGAGCGGCTTGAATAAGGAACCTTGGTTTTCAAAAGGGGCTCGGTCGTTCCTTAGGCTTGCATGCGTTATTTTTTGTTTTTGATGTGTTATGTATTACTTACCGTTCCTGATGCGTTTCTTTTCCATTGGGTTAAATAAGAGCTTCGTTTCTTATTTATCGCTCCTCAGGTCAGGTCGATGACTGTGCACTTCAGGGGCGCGTGAATTTTTCCTTCGGCGAGGACCATCGAGGAGCATCCTCGATCATTTGGCGAAAGAACCACGCACGAAACCTAAAAAGAACACAGGAAATGGACGTCCGAGCGATGGCCAGTCCAGGGGCCGCCCCGACGGCCGCAGAGGGCCCGTAGCGCTGTGGGCGACGATCAGCGGAGGGAAAGCATGCTGCCAACGAATGTTGCCAACGAATGTCCAGATGCCCAACACATGTTTCAAAACATGTCTTCAACATGGTAGATGACATGTAAGCGACAAGTTTAGGACATTCCCCACACATGTTTAGCACATGCTTGAATCGATGTCAGGATTGTTAGGGTGTCCATCGCCATGGCATCCACAACCATAGGAGCCCCAGGGTGACCCGAGAGCGCCTGAAAACAAGCCCGGTGGCTTCCAAAACGACCCAGGAGAACCTTTGCTGACTGCCCCTGGCGGCCCTCATCGGTTTTTCAACGGTTTTGAAAGATGCTCACCGTCTCGCCAAGTTGGGCCAAGGAAGGCCCCAGACGGACGGACCCAGGACCTAGTCAGATCGCTCCACGGCGACCCAACAGGCCCCCCAAGAGGACCCCACGACAGTCCAAAACAGTTCCACGACGGCCCAACAGGCGCCCAAGACGGCCCAAGAGGCATCCAAGACCGCGTCAAGAGCGACCCCAGACGGCCCAGGACCGCCCCAAGACCGCCCAAGAGCGACCCAAGACGGCTTCGAACGGCCCCAGGATGGCCCAAGAGGCAGCCAAGACGGCCCCGAACGGCCCCAAGACGGCCTCGGAGGCACGCGAGACGGCCCCAAACATCTTCAAGACAGCCCCAGAGGCACGCGAGACTGCCCATAAAGGCCCCAAGAAGCCCCCAGGAAGCCGTAAATCAGGGCCAAGAGGCCCCAAAACGGCCCCCAGGAGACCCTCAGTGACTTCAAACTTGCCTCGAACAGGGGGGAGCGGACGAGGGGCGAGAAGCGGAGCGCAAGCCCGACAGAGCCGTGTTGGACAGTCCGATCGAGCGACAGAGGAGGAAGAGGAGGAGGAGGACGAGGAGGAGGAAGGGGAGGAGGAGGAGGAGGAGGAGGAGGAAGAGGAGGAGGAGGAGGAGAAGGAGGAGGAGGAGGAGGAAGGGGAGGAGGGAAGGAGGAGGAGGAAGGGGACGAGGACGAGGAGGAGGAATCGACAGAGGAGGAGGAGGAGGAGGAGAAGGAGAAGGAGAAGGAGGAGGAGGAAGAGGAGGAGGAAGAGGAGGAGGAGGAGGAGGAGGAGGAGGAGGAGGAGGGCGGAGGAGGGCGGAGGATGGTCCAGCAGCAGCAGAGCAGCTGAGCAGCACCAGCAGCACGCTTCGAACACGGGATCGCAACACGCTTCGTCGCTGCCCTGCTCTCCGTTCTGGGGTCGGCGGTTCCGGCCACTTGCACGTGCCGACCTTCAAGGCTACGCTCCGAGTGCCGACGAGCTGTCGCAGGCGAATTCTGCGGGTCAGCCCCAGTCTCTCCTACACGGCGGGAGGGAGCGCATGCCAAACCTGCAGGAACTCCTGTGCAGAAGCTCGCCCCTTTACGGCCTCACCACGTGGTCGAATCGCCCGCGAGGGCCCAAGAGGCGCTCCAAGACGGTCCAAGAGCGCTCCAAGACGGCTTCGGTTGTTCCCGAGACGGGCCTCGAGACTCCAAAGACATCAGAAGGTGGCTCCAAGACGGTCCAAGAGGCCCCAAACACGCTCCGAGAGGGCCCCGATAGGACGCCAAAGAGGCAACAATGGTCACATTCCGATCGGAAAACGTACATGTTCAGCATAGCCGCTTTTTGTGTTGTTACATTGTCCAGGACAGGCCGAGCGGCCCCCTCAAACCCCCAAAGACGACCCAAGCGGCCCCCAAGAGGGCCCCAAGACGGTCCAAGAGGGTCCAAAGACAGCCCAAGGGGGCCCTCAAATGGCTTGAGTGGGCCCCAAGACGGAAGAGGGCACGAAGAGGCTCCCAAGAGGGCCCCAGGAAGCCCTCCAGAGATCCCAAAGACGGTCCAAGGCCTCAGAAGATGGCTCCGAGACGGTCCAAGAGGCCCCAAAGACGCTCAGAGAGGGCTCCGAGAGGACGCCAAAGAGGCAAACATGGTCTCCAAGAGGGGTCCAAAAGGGCCCGACGAGGCTCCCAAGAGGGCCCCAGGAAGCCCTCCAGAGAGCTCCAAGACGGTCCAAGGCCTCCAAGACGCCCCGTGACAGCCCAAACGGCCCCAAGACGTCCCAAAACGGCAACAGAACGGCCCAAAAGGGCCCCTGAAGGGCCCCCGAAAGTCCCCCACAAGGACCATTGATAAGGCGCACAGACGCCAAATAAAAGAGCGATCGGTACAGTAAATAGCTTTTCAACTCAAGGCTCCCAAGAGCGAGCGGTGACACAGCAAGCTGTTCAACCCGAGGCTCTTGAAAACTTTGAAACTGGAGCCCGAAGCTATCATCATCCCCTCAATTCTGGGACAAGCGCGTGGGCCAATCGCTTTCTCGGCCTCCAGCGGCGTCGGCAGTGCCTCCGGGTCCCTGTGGGCTCTGGGTCCCCAAGACGTCGCAGAGACAGCCTTCGGTAATGTCCGAGATGGCCAGGATTGGCCCCGACAGCCGCCAGACAGGGCCCCCGAGAGATCTCAAGCGGTTTCAAGAGGCCTCCAAAAGGCCCAGGCCCCTAGGCGCCCCAAGAGGCCTTGCAGGAATTGCCCAGGAGACCACGGCAATTTCAAAGCTTTCCAACACCCAAGGGAAGATGTATGTCTTTTGCTTGCTTCGCAGGCATTTCGACGCGAGACAGCTCAAACGGCTTCGGGGGAGACTCTTGGCCCCCTTGCGGGCCACCTTGGGCCCTCTGGGGGCCTCCATCGAGCCTCCTGGGTTGTCTTCGGGGCCTCCTTGGGCCGTCTCGGTCCGACTTCGGGCCGTCTTAGGGCCCTCTGGGCGGTCTTTGACTGCCTCAAAAGAGCCCAAGGGCGGCCCCAGAGGGCACCCAGAATATTAAAGAAGGCGTCGGAGAGCTTCCAGACGACCCGACACGCCCTCCAGAGAGCGCCACGATGGCCCAACAGACCCCCAGAGAACCCCGAGACGGTCCAGGATGGCCACAAGGCCAAAGAGGGCTCGACGAGGCCCCCAATCGTTTCGGCCATAGGGCCCCACAGCACGGCCTCCATATCCGGCAGCACACAAGCCAGCAGCGGCAGCAATTAGTAGCTTAGTAGCGAGCAGCAGAAAACAAGAAGCTACTGCATTACCCGCGGCCAGCTGGCGGCCATCCCCGCTGCCGTGGCGTGCGGCAGAGGGTCAGTTGCGACCGCCAGGCCTGCCTGCATGCTGGCGGTGACATCGGGAAGACAACTGTCTGGCTAGCAGCTAATGCGCGCAAAACAGCAGGCAAGCAGGCAAGCGATCTCAACTTCTGCACGCGGGCAGGCTGTCGTGGACGCAAGTCCACGGGTCAGCTCCAGTCTACAATGCAGGGACCCGTGCGTGCGGGAAGGGTCCCTGTCTTGATGGAGCGAAAATGCCCCACAACGGCTCTGGGGACGCCCCAGAGGCGCTCACGCGGCCCCAGAGGCGCCCAGGACGGCCCCAGACACCCCCAAAACGGCCCAAGAGCGCTCCAAGAGAGCTCCAGACCGCCGAAAACGGCCCCGACAAGGCCCAGGAGGCCTCCACGAAGGCCCCAGAGACGCTCAAGAGGCGTCCCAGGATGGCCCCCACATGCCCAAATCATTGTTTTTCCAACGAAAAACGTTCAGTTTTTCGCTCCAGTCAGCTACAATGCTGGCATCAGCGCGTGCGAGAAGGGCAGGCAGTTCCAGCGGGCCCTGACGCTGCTCAGCGAGATGCGGGAGGCGAGCCTGGAGCCCGACGTCATCAGCTGCGGGGCCGGGATCAGCGCGTGCGAGAAGGGCGGCCAGTGGCAGCTGGCACTGGCGCTGCTCAGCAGGATGTGGGAGGCGCAGGTCGAGCCCAGCGTCATCTTCTACAGCGCTGGGACCAGCGCGTGCGAAGGAGAGCGGGCACCCGTTCGCGTGTCTAAATCGCTGTCTCGACCCTCGTGAAGGTCAGCAGCTGCGGCGCTCTCCCCTGCCTCCCGGGGACAGTCCCCGGCAGCTCCCTCGAAAAGGCTCGGACAGGCTCCCCGAAGGCCCAGTTTGCGGAACAGAAATTACCTCACAGGCCAGCGGAAGGCTCCCAGCAGCTCCCCCAAAACAGCTCCGATAGATTCCCAGAAATCACCACATCAGCCAGCGTTGGCTCCAAATCGATAGGAGGACGAGAGGAGGATGGGAGCAGGACGAAAGGAGGACAGGAACAGGATGGGAGGAGGGCGGGAGGAGCAAAATCAAGCAAACGCAAGCAAGCAAGCGGAAGTAAGCAAGCGCAAACGAGCAAAAACAAGCAAGCAAGAGCCAGCGATCAAGTGCAAGCAAGCAAGGGCAAGCAAGAGTAAGCAAGCAAGAGCAAGCAGGCAAGAGCAAGCGTGCAAGTGCCATTGGAAAAACGGGGGGCGCCATTAGAAAAAGGGGAGGTGGCCATTGGAAAAAGGGGGGGTCCTAAAGACCAGTTACTTCTGATGATATAGGACTCCTGTAGGGCAAGCCTATTTGGATAATCTGAAGGGAAAACGCACACACACACATCTTGAGACACCCCTCGCGCGGGAGGGGGTTCAGAAAATAGTTCCCCGATGTAACCGCGGACATCCTGGAGCACTGCTTCTGCGACCCCTCCCGCGCCGAGCGTGTCCCCAAAGGTGTGGTGCGTGTCCGTGTATGTGTGCGTGTGTTTTCCCAATCATCTTGGGCCTCTCCTCCCCGTCTTCGCTTTCCTCCGCCACAGGATCTCCTGCCGTTGCTGCTGGAGCTGCTGCCGCTGCTACTAGAGCCGCACTGCGGTAATTCATATTTCCACTACTACTATTACTATTGCCCATGCCCCTAGATCTGCTGCCGCTGATACTGCTAGCGCTGCCCTGGACGCCGTCAGAATCATCAAGCAGACAGCACACCCGAAAGCGATGAGCAGCAGCAAGCGCACTCCCAGCACTGGCACTCGTCGGCGGTAATACCAGGCTCAACGCGTGCCAGAATACAGCACATTGGGTCCGAGATTGTCCCAAGATGGTCCGAGAGGCGCCCAAGACGGCCCCACATCGCTCCAAGACGGCCCAAGAAGCACTCAAGACTGCCAAAGAGGGCTCCGAGAGACCCACCACCAGGAGGACGAACAGAGGCCCCCAAGCGGCCCCCGAGAGGCCTTGGATGTTTCTCGAGAAGCATCCAAGGCCTTCCAGCATCGTTTTGGAGGCTTCTTGGACCCTCTGGGAGCCATCTCTGCGCTAGTTGGGGACGTCTTGGGGAGGTGCGCTCGAAAAGTCGATTCGTGTCCTCGCACAGGCCCTTCTTAGTGAGTTACGTCTCGCCGCCCTCTTGCGGGCCTCCTAGGCCGCGCCCACTGGCCCCATTGTCACCACACTGCCAGGTGACATTATCATTCGGCCCCGGCGAAGAGCAGATAAACTTCTCACGGCTACCTTTCCCGCAGAAGCTATGATGAACACAGACTTCGGCGTCAGAAACAGCTTCTGTCCACAACATGCCATGCCTACATGGGTGTGCTTCCACTGACACCGCCTCCACCACCACGTTCCTGCCTTCAGGCCTGCTTGCCTGCATCCCTCGCCCACCTTCCCCTCAAGCGGCCACCTCCTCCATCCACGCCGTCCCCTCCAACCTCCCCTTACCCGCGAGGCCCCCGAGACGCTCCACTTCCACGTCCACGCCAGGGCGGGCAAATTACGCGGCCGGAGGCCGCGGGTCAGCCCTAGTCAGCTACAATGCTGGAATCAGCGCGTGCGAGAAGGGCACGCAGTGGGAGCGGGCGCTGGCGCTCTTGCGCCAGATGCGGCAGGCGAAGCTGGAGCCCAACATCATCTCTATTATGTAATGCGGCGCTCGCCGCTCGCCACATGCGTCGAGGAGTGGCCTTGGACTGGCCCCCTCCGGCGGCCATCGGCGCGGCCCCAGGCCGTGGCCTGGCACCCTCGGCGGCCACGGGCGCGGCCCTGGGCCCCAGCGCGCTTGGAGACGGCCGAAGACGGTGCAAGAGGGCCTCCAGGGCGGGCCCCGAGCGCTCGATGACGCCCAAGACAGCCGCCCGGCGGCCGAAGAGGCCCAGAGAGCCCCCCGGAGAGCCCGAGCAAGGACAAGTCGTCCCAATCCCTGGGGAAAAGGTGTACACTTCGGGGTCCCCGTGCCTTTCGCCATCGCAGCGTCCGAGACGGCCACACAGGCCCTGAGCATCGTCCCGAGACGCCGCAGGAGGCTGCCAGCGGGCCCCCCCGACGGCTCGACACTGCGCCATGGCGGCTCCTCAGGCGCCCAGATGGCGGCCCCCAGCAGGGGGCCAGGACAGGCTGAGAGCGCTCCCGAGGGGCACCAGGGGCCCCGGCGCGCTTCCAAGATGGCGTCAGAGCGCTCCGAGCCGCCACCGGAGGCCTCCAAGAGGGCCCGAAGACGGTCCAAGAGGGCCTCCGAGACAGGCCCCGAGCGCTCGATGACGCCCACGACAGCCGCCCGCTGGCCGAAGAGGCCCCCACGATGCTCCAAGCGGGCTCTAGGGAGCGCCCCTCGCGGGCCCCAGGAGCGGCCCGAGAGTGTGGCGTGGTCGTGCCGTGCTCCTGGCCCCACCTTGGAGCCCTCCTGAGACTCACTTGGGCCGCTCTGGGGCCGCTCATTGGCCCCTCTGTCGGAGGTAGACAGACCTCCTGCCCTGACACGTCGATTAGCGAATTGGCTGTTTTCGGTTCTACAGAGGGCGTCGCGGCCGTCATTTCTGCGGGTCCAGGTCCGTCGATTTGGGTCCTAGGCTGTTTTCACTTAAGGGAGGTTTACTAAATGGAGGCTTGTTCACCGCCGACTCTGGGACACTGAAGGAGGCCCCAGGATCGACCCAAAAGGCCTCCGAGAAGACCCCAAGAGCGGTCCAAGAGGATGGCACGGCCGTGCAGTACTCCTGGGGCCCCCCCTTGGAGCCCTCCTGAGGCTCACGTGGGCCGCTCTAGGGCCGCTCATTGGTCCCTCTGAAGCCCTGAAGGAGGCTCCTGGAGGGCGCCAAGAGGGCTCCACGAAGACCTCAACAGCGGCCCAAGAGTATGGCATAGTCGTGCAGTACTCCTAGGCCCCGGCCCCCCCTCGGAGCCCTCGTGAGGCTCACGTGGGCCGCTCTGGGGCCGCTCAAGCCCCTCCTCCTCCTCCTCCTCCTCCTCCTCCTCCTCCTCCTCCTCTTCCTCCGCATCTGCCTCCTCCGCGTTTCCTGCTCACCGTGTCGTCGAGTGCCCCCCTCGCGCCCGCTGGCCAGGCGAGGCAGGCGGAAGTGCTGCCTGGCGCCCCTCCTGCCCAGCGAGATGCGGGAGGCGAGCGCAAAGCACTTGCCAATTCGTGGCAGCTTGTCGTGGACGAAGCCCACGGGTCAGCAAGCGCGGGTGCACACCAGTCTATACTATTTGAGAAGTGAGTCGTATACAGAATTGAAAATCCTCATAATTGCCGTTTTACTTAGTTTTTTGTTATTTTTTTGTCTTGGTCTCCTTTGGGCGCTCTTTGGGTTCGTGGGCCCGCGGCTCATCCTAAAGCGCGCCTGGTTTGTGGGCCAGAGGCGTCTTCGAAGCGTGGTGGTTTCTCGGGGTGCATATGGGACGTTTACTTGGGTGCCTGCTTGTACGTCAGGGCTCTTCAGGATTCATCTGCCTTCCCCAGGATGTATCAGAGTTCGGTTTTTAGGGACTGACCCAGGTGTTCTTAGTTTCCCCTTCAACTTCTTCAGGATTCCAGGATGTCTAAATATTCAATCGGATTCTGCATGTTTTCCTCATCCTCGTCAAGGAATTTTCAGGTTGCCTTTGGGTTCCTCGGGATCCCACAGGGATATGCAGGACTTTCAAGGTTCAGTCGCACGTGCTCAGGACGTCCAGTTTCTTTGGGATATCGTTGGGTTGTTGAAACTATTGGGGGTTAGTCGGGGTGTTCCTGGTGCGCCGAGGATATCATTGGGTTTTCTTCGGCGTGGGGGGGGCATGCTATTCAGAATAGAACTCACGATGCGTTTAAATCTTCGGGCAACTTTGACCATAAAAAGAAAAATAACCATGCGTAGAGGATGCAGGATCTGATACATTACGCTATTCTAATACATTACAACACGCGAACACAATATACTAATACACTGCACACCTACCCCGTACTAGTACACGACGCGACTACATTAATCCACGCTATCACGCTGTGCGCGTGACACTTACGTCGGAACCATTCATACGCGACGTTCAACGCTCGATCTTTATCGCGCGACACTTATCCACGATTCCACTTCATTAGCACACCGCGCAAATGCATCGCTCGAACACACTACTCCACACTAGCACATTCTACGCGGCACGTAACGCGGGACTTTTCGTACGCGATACTCAGCGCGCAACGCTTGGCGCGCGGCACATGTTACGAGACATTGTCAACTGTTTTAAACAGCGAACTGCATAGCACTTAATGCGCGATAATACGCGGCATTTAATGCGCGATGCTTTCATTCATGCGCGACACTGAAGCACAACGCGTTCTACATTACAGCCCGTGCGCTACACATAATACACGACAGTATATATAGGACATTTCAACCACGGCAATGGGTAGTGCATTACGACTGCGCATGACTAAGACTGAGCACGCGATAATTAGCGCACGGCGCTCGGCCCATTACACATATCGGCATCGCGCGACATCCCGCGCGCGACAATTACACAGTATACGCGACACTTTGCACGCGACGTTTCGCGCGCGCCACTCAAGACACGACACCTAGGACACTACGCTTAATATGCGACACTAAAAGGCACGACGCGTAAGGCACAACAATTTAAACGCGATGGGCAACCCACTACAGCTAACGCGCTACATTTTCCACGCGAGA